TATATATATATATATATATATATATATATATATATATATTGCAAGGCAAAAGGCAGGGCTTAGTTTAGAAGTTGCCAACTAGGATTTTCATCAAGATGGGGCAGGGCTACCTTTCTCAAACTACCTTGTCCATAACTTAACCAATCTAAACCCTCCTTCCCTAGCATAACCCTGTTCTTGTTCTCCAGGTGCGTCGGGAATCAGCTGTTACATGTGCTCCTCGAAGAACGGCAGCGACACCAACTGCGACGACCCGTACCACCCCGCCCACTCCAAGTACGCCGAGAACTGCCTGGTGCCCAAGGAGGACCACATCGGGGAGTTCCCGGCCAACTTCTGCGTCAAGATCAGCGGAGTCTCAGGTTGGTTGGATGACAGAGGGGAGAAGGGGAAGGGAAGAGAGAGGGAGAAGAGAGAGGGAAAAGAGGGAAGGTGGGTGGAAGGAGAGAGGGAAAAGAGGAGGGTAAAGAGAGGAAAGGGAGAGGGTAGAAGAGAGAGGGAAAGAGGGAGGTAAAGAGAAGGAAAGGGAGAGGGAGAGGAGAAGGGAAAAGAGGGAGGTAAAGAGAAGGAAAGGGAAAGGAAGGAGGGAGGGTAGAGATGTATGGAAGGAAGAGGAAGGAAGGATACAGGAGGGAAGGAGGGGGAGAAGAGGGGAAAGGGGGAACCTGAGAGAAGAGGTGCAGGTAAAGATAATGGAAAAGGAAGGTAGGGACAGAAGGAAAGGGAAGGCAGGGGTGAAGACGGGAGAGGGGAGAAAAGGAAAGAAGAAAAGGGAAGGTAGGGGAGAGGAGGGGAATGGGAGCACAGGAAAGAAGAATGGCAGGGGAAGGAAGAGGAGAGTGAAGGAAGCGAGAGAAGGAATGGGAGGACAGGAGAGAAAAGGGAATAAGGGAAAAAGAGAGGGTAGGCGAGAGGAGGGACAGGAGAAAGAAAAGAGGGAGGGAAAGTGAATGAAGAGGAGAGGGAAAGAAGAGAAAGGATGAAATGTAGGGTAGGGGAAGGAAGAGAAGGAGGAAAGGGAGGAGAGATGTAAAGATTGGCAAGGGAGAAGAGAAAGTAAAACAGAGAAGGAGAGGAGGAAAAGGAAAAGCAGGGATGAAGAGAAAGGGGAGAGGAGAGGAGAATCGACATGTGTAGAAAGAGAAAAGCGAAAACGGAATTATTTTTCCATGGCTATTCATTAAGATTCATATATACGATTACTATTTTTGTTCACCAACATAAAATACATTAAAACAAATACAAGTCCAGATTTTAAATTATTTCAGCAAAAAGCTTGACAATCCACAAAGATAGGCATATATTCCACGCAATAAAACAAATAAATAAATACTTCCCATACGCCATTTTTTCTAGTCACTCTATTTTATGTCGTCAGCAGTTACCGGCGAGTCTCTGATGATCCGGACCTGCGTGCTGGAGAATATGGACTCCCAGTGTGGCGTGTTCAAGTTCGGAGACGAGCAACTCAAGGGCTGCATCCTCACCTGCGAGTACGACGGCTGCAACCCCGCCTCCAGAAGCAGAGTGGTGCTGGGCCTTCTTCCCCTGCTGGCCACCACAATACTCCTCCTTCGCTAAAAGTGGTTCCTTCTGCCTCTTTCTTTCTTTCTTTTCACTCATCTTTATCCTACCATCTCGTCTCTCTTCACTGCAGCTGAAAGTGTCACTTCTGTCTTTATCAGTCTCAAGTACAGAGGTCTAGTACTCACGTCTTTCCTTCCGATGGCACAAAGTAAACTTATATTCATTATTTAGTTTATGCCTTCCTGTTCACTACCTCCTCTTTGCTGCTGAGTGTTCACTACCTCCTGTTCACTACATGGTGTTAAATGCAACGTAGCCCTCTTACTTTTGTGAATGTCTTAACAGTAATATTACAGCTCAGTACTTTGTCTTGAAAGAGATGCTCCCGATCCCTGTTTTGGACGTTTGTTTGACTTAAGGTTTCCATCTTCGCTTTCTGATTTCCACTGCATCAGCAACGAAGGAAGTGAGAATCAGACACCACTATGGAGTCAAGAGCAAAATTCAGTCACTGTATGGTCAAGCTAAAGCCTGTCAACTTTGTAAAACCTTTAGGAAGAAGTTACTGTCACACACTAGCGGACTCAAACCTGACACAGGCTCCGTACACACCTCATCATGGAGGGGATGATCACTGATCTTACCAATCGCTAATGTTCATTTAACGTAAAGAAAAAAAAAATACTATAGACTAACCTGTTTGTAGAATTCACAGCTGCAACAAATTAAAGTTGGCGATCATCCCTTCCGAGATGAATAAATTCACTATTTCTGGTGCTCACCCCCTTAGTATCTCGAGGGGTGAGGTGTGTGTGACGCCTGGCTCAGGTTTCAGTCGGATCGCTGTCAACATTGATATCAGTTATATCAGTGTTGTAGAATCAAAAATAACGTTTCTATTAGATAAAGTATTTTACTTTTGTGTTGTGCGTTATATTGTATATAATATTTGATATTATCGGTGGTAGAATTG